CTGGGCTGTACTTGTGCAATATTTTTTTGTATTTCCTCAAGGCAAGGGCCCCTTCAATGATTCTGTTAGAATCAACCCGAGGACTCAAACACCAACTGGGATTTTTGATGTCCCTCATGTTTGTCATCCACACATTTTTGATGTTCATTGAGATTTTTGAGATTTCGTTTTGAAGGTCATCCTATTTTGATACATTTTTGATGTCCTCATGTGCCACAATTTTGAGATATCGTTTTGAAGGTCATCCTATTTTGATACATTTTTGATGTCCTCATGTGCCACAATTTTGAGATATCGTTTTGAAGGTCATCCTATTTTGATAAATTTTTGATGTCCTCATGTGCCACAATTTTGAGATATCGTTTTGAAGGTCATCCTATTTTGATAGCTTTTTGATGTCCTCATGTGCCACAATTTTGAGATATCGTTTTGAAGGTCATCCTATTTTGATACATTTTGATACAGTCCAACGCCATGTCAATAAGAACGTATATTTTGTCTTTGTGATGCCTAATCACGATGCCTGGGCGATTAGATTTGATTCTTCTGTCTGTGTGTATTGTGTAGTCCCATAAAATAGTTACAGGTCCTATCTCCGTAACCGTGTCTGAATGTTGTTCATACCAATTTTTATGCACACTCCTTTCCGTAAAAGTTACAGATTTTCCAGTGCAGACATTGGCCCACTCTGTCATGCTGGCTTTTATATTCAGTTTGTTCCAATATCGTGCAACCTGATACAAAATGGTCAATTTTTTCTGGATATTTATCACAGAATCTGCATTTGGGGTCAACACAATTTTTCAGTATGTGGGTTTGGTAATTTCTAGTTAGCAAGCATTGATCTTGTGCAGCAAGAATAAAACTGATGGGTACGGTGTCTGTCTACATCAGCTTGTTTGGTACGGGAAGAGGTTTATCTTGCTATCGTTTCTGTATCTGGTCGATTACATTTGCCTTAGCTTACTTCTTTTTTTTTTTTTTTTTATATTTTTGCAGATGCAGCCAGTGTATCATGCTTTAGATGCGTTTCTTCACTCACTTGAAAGTTTGAACTTGTTGACTTTCTTCATTATTATTATTATTATTATTATTATTTGTTTCCAGTTTAGTACAATCCCTTAAGTTGTACTAAATGGGATATTTATTGAGACATTTTTAATTCACCAGAAGAAAATATTCACATGTGGACACTTTCACTCACTTAAGATCAGAAGCCATGAAAACCATGCCTGACGTAAAGTCATGGCATTTATTATTATTATTTTTATTTTCTTTGATTTCTAGCGTTTACACATTTCTTTCCGGGTCCCGCCCAGAGACCTAAGGTTAGAAATGGCGTCATGATACTTTCCACTGCCAAAAAAAAAAAATTACATAGATAAAGCCCTTCGTAAAGTGTGGGCTGTATTTGTCAGAACAATTTTTTGTATCTCTTTGAGGCATGGACTTCCAGGAATCCCTTCAATTAGTCTACTGCTATCTTTTCCAACCAGTCCTAGGACTACAACTACAGCAGGGATTGTTGATGTTCCCATATACCACATTTTCGAGATTTCTATTTCAAGGTCCTTGTATTTTGACAGCTTTTTGAATATCTTCAAAGATACATTGCAGTCAGCAGGGACTGCCATATCAACAAGGAGGCACTGTTTTTGTTTGTGGTCTTTAATAACAATATCTGGGCGGTTGGCTTTGATTATTCTGTCAGTGTGTATTGTGTAGTCCCATAGAATTGTAACAGGTCCTATCTCCGTAATCGGGTCTGGGTGGTGTTCATACCATTTTCGTTCAGTTTCCTTCCCGGAGAAGTTGCATATTTTCCTGTGCAGATATTGGCCCACTCTGTCATGCTGGGTTTTATATTCAGTGGGTGCCAAACTGATACAAGATGATCAATCGTTTCTGGACATTTATCACAGAATCTGCATTTTGGGCTGACACAATATTTTAGTATATGTGCTTGATGATTCCTAGTTAGCAAGCATTGATCCTGTGCAGCAAGGATAAAACCTTCAGTTTCAGCTTTCAACCCTGCACTACGTAACCACTGATGGGTACGGGTTTTGTCTACGTCAGCTTGTTTGGTGCGGGCAGAGTATTGGCCATGAAGCGGTTTATCTTGCCATTGTTTCTGTATTTGGTCGGTTGCATTTGTTTTTGCTTTCTTTTTTAAGTATTTTGCAGCTTCAGTCAGTGTATTGTGCATTACTTGTATTTTTCACCCATTTGAAACTCTATTCTGAACATATTATTATTAATATTTTTATTATTATTGTTGTTGTTGTTGTTGTTGTTGTTTAACTTGGAATCTCTTATTTTGTCGATAGAACCTACAACGCTTTTCATAACGTCTTCTTTTGGGTGCCTTTAATTTCAGTTTCTGTTTAAATATTTCCTTGGTTGGTGGAATTTCATTTACTACTTTAATTTTATATTTCCGCTTGATCTTCCTGATTTTCTGCATTTGAACTTTTTGAAATCTCATCTCGTATCGATAACTCACTTCTGATTTCCTCAATTTGTCGTTTTAATTTTGCCTTAATTCTTAAGAATTTCCATTTTTTTTAATTTTCTTGAAGCTTGTCTAACATTATTCTTGATTATATTTTTCCATTCTTTCACAGGTTAGTACGCCATTCTTTGTTGTTCTCGTTTGAACAACTCTGCATTGGGATTATATTCTTTTGGGTTACTCCAAATATTCTCTCAAAATTTTTGAACTTCTTCAATAGATAATAGCTTTTTGATTCGATATCAGCTTTTCCAATTTCCCTGTAAAACTTCTTGAGGTCATTTTTGGAATCTCTTATTTTGTCGATAGAACCTACAACGCTTTTCATATCGTCTTGTTCTGTGCGCATTTAATTTCAGTTTCTTTTTAAGTATTTTCTTGATTGGCTGAATTTCATTTACCAATTTAATTTTATATTTCAGCTTCATCACCTTTGCTTTTTCCGCGTTGAAACATTTGAATTTTTTGAAATCTCATCTAATATCGATGACTCACTTCTGATTATTATTATTATTATTATTATTATTGATTTATTGATTTCTGGTGTGTATTCATTTCTTTCCATGTCCCGTCCATAGACCTAAGGTCAGAAATGGCATCATGACATTTCCCACTAAGCAATTAAAAAACACATATATTACATAGATAAAGCCCTTCATAAGGTTTGGGCTGTACACGTAAGAAGAATTTTTTGTATTTCTTTAAAACATGGACTACTAGGAATCCCTTCAATGAGTCTACTGGAACCTTTTCCAAACAATCCTAGGCATCCAACTAAAACAGGGATTGTTGGTGTTCCCATGTGCCACATTTTTGAGATTTCGATTTCAAGGTCCTTTTATTTTGATAGCTTTAATCTTCCAAAGTGGTTCAACATTTCGCAGGCACATCTTCCGAGTAACCCCCCTCCCCACGTAAAGTATTATTATTATTGTTTTTATTTCCTTTGATTTCTGGCGTGTACACATTTCTTTCCGGGTAGAAATGGCATCATGACACTTTCCACTGACAAAAAAAAATATTTTACATAGATAAAGCCCTTCGTAAAGTGTGGGCTGTACTTGTGAGAACAATTTTTTTTTTGTATTTCTTTGAGGCATGGGCTTCCAGGAATCCCTTCAATTAGTCTACTGCAATATTTTTCAACCAGTCCTAGGGATCCAACTACAACAGGGATTGTTGATGTTCCCATATGCCACATTTTTGAGACTTCTATTTCAAGGTCCTTGTATTTTGACAGCTTTTTGAATATCTTCAAAGATACATTGCAGTCTGCAGGGACTGCCATATCAAAAAGGAGGCACTTTTTTGTTTGGGCTCTTTAATAACAATATCTGGGCGGTTGGCTTTGATTGTTCTGTCAGTGTGTATTGTGTAGTCCCATAGAATTGTAACAGGTCCTATCTCCGTAACCGGGTCTGGGTGGTGTTCATAGCAGTTTCTTTCAGTTTCCTTCCCATAGAAGTTGCAGATTTTCCAGATTTTTTTGTCAGTGGAAAGTGGCATGATGCCATTTCTAACCTTAGGTCCCTGGGCGGGACCCGGAAAGAAATGTGTAAACGCCAGAAATAAAAAAAATAAAAATAATTATTATTATTATTATTATTATTATTATCATTATTATTATTACTACCATAAGTGGTTCGAAGCATCGCTGCCACCTGCAAATTATTATTATATATTTATTGTTACTATTCGTTCCTACTTATTATCGGCTATGGTATTATTTTATAGTTTGTAGGCTTCCGTATTTGAGTTATTTCCTATTATAATTAATTTTATTATGACTCCCCGTGTCATCCCGCGCCCTGGGCGTTACGCATATCATTAAACTTTAGCTGTTATTGTTCTGTGATAACTGTGGTTTCATGCGGTGTGTTTCCTGAGGCCAGGTTGTACGTCCACTCCCTCCGGTTCATTTTCCCAAGACATTCATTTGGGCGCGAAAAGTTCATATTTGGTCATTATGAAGATACGAATTAATGACGATTTAAAGATGTAATGAATATCTTGAAGCGTTGATTTGTTTTCCGTGAAAGCAGGTGATAGTGTCTGATTAATAAAAGGGAAGCGATGGAGGATGCAAGGCGGGAAAAAAATGGAAAAGGTGGAAGGAGACAAAAGAAAGAAAGAAAGAAAGAAAGAAAGAAAGAAAGAAAGAAAGAAAGAAAGAAAGAAAGGTTAAAAAAAGTAAGTTGAAATGAAAGGAAGAAGACGAAAGAAAGAAAAAAGAAAAAGAAAAGGAAAGAAAGAAGAAAGGAAAGAAAGAATGAAAAAGGAAAATAAAAACGAAATCGAAAAAACAAATGGAAAAAACAAACAAAGAAAAGAAAGAAAAGGAATTAAAAGAAATTAAAGGAGACAGAAAAATATAAACGAACGAGTTAAGACAGTTATTTGGAAGAAAGAAAGAAAGAAAGAAACTAAAAGAGAAAAAAGGGAAAATTTAAAAGAAAGAAAGATAGAAAGCAAATGAAAAGTAAACGAAAGAAAGAAAAAGAGAGACAAAAAGAATGAAAGAAGAAAGGAATGAAAAGTGGAAAAGAAAGAAAAGGAAGTAAAAGATATTTAAGGAAACAGAAAAATGTGAGGGAAAAAATAAGAGAGATATTTGAAAGAAAGAAAGAAAGAAAGAAAGAAAGAAAGAAAGAAAGAAAGAAAGAAAGAAAGAAAGAAAAAGTCATAAAAAAAGGAAAAGGAAAACAAACAAAAGAAAGAAAAAGTATGAAAAAGATTAAAGGAAACAAAAATATCAATGAAAGATTTAAGAAAGCGCTTTCAATGATATGAAGAAAGAAAGAAAGAAAGAAAGAAGAAAGAAAGAAAGAAAGAAAGAAAGAAAGAGACAGAAAGGGAAAATATGAACGAAAGTATAAAGAAGAAAGCGCTCTGAAAAAAAAAGAAAAAAAAAAGCAAACGAACAAAGCAGAAAAAGGAAAAAAGAAAAATGAACAAAAGTAATAAGAAACATGTTTTTTTAATTTTTAATTTTAAATTTTTAAAATGAATACAATAATTTAAACATTTTAATTAATTTTAATTTTAGTTTTAATTGCAAGAAAATAGCTTAAAGCTAATGTTTTTAGCAGTTTCTATTGCCATCGTTTGATAGATGTCTGCCAACATTCGACTCTGAAATAAAAAAAATAAACACCCAAGAATAAAATCGCTCTTATAGAAATAAGAGAATTCGATAAAAATGATCAGTTACATTTTACTTCAAACATAATGAAAATATGTTTGTTTACACACAAAAATGGAGATAAGTTTAAGATACAGGGGTCATAAAAAGATAACAACTAAGGGTTAGGTGTGGGTTTGTAATTTCTGTCTGTCGATACTGGCTTCCTTATATGGGAACGTGTCGTCACTGCTTTTTTTTAGTTTTTTTTTTATTTTATTTAGGGGGCATACATAAAATACACTACAATACATTGGTATTTTTATTTATTTTTTGATTTTATAAAATACATTAGGATTTTCTTAAAGGGGCTTCAAATAGGATTAAGCCATATTTTATATATTTATATTTTTATTTATAAAGATCTAAAATACTAGATTTATTATATTTATTTGTATGCTAGATACGGTATTGTTAACATTAAATTTATTTTCATACTTATATTTATCGTCAAATAATAGATATATAATTATGCAATTGTTTTTATAATTAATTATTTTTTAAATTATTTTTTTTAAGTAAATATAATACAATTTCTACAAAAACCGTTATTTCTTTTCTTTGATTTCATAAATAAACTTTATAATTTAAATGTCCCTTAAGGAACTGTGTTCTTTATGAAACCAAATTCATAAATAATTGCATCGGTCACACTACTACATGCCTATCTAGACGATTTACGTTGCTCCTATCTAACCACAACTTTATTTGAAACCATTTAAACACACGCAAAAACCTACCAGACTCCATCTAAAAAATACTGGTAGAAAATACAAATATAATAACCTCATCCACATGTAAAAAAAGAACTGAAATTAATGGAAGCCTTAATAATAAAAAAAGAAATTGCCAACACTCAATAATGTTAACTACGAACATGGCCACAACGCGGTAACTGTGTTCGGAAAATAAAACATCCCTATAACTCTATAAACATGCACACAACACATACACCCAATTAAAAAGGAAAAATAAAATCATCCTTGATAATGGTTAAAAGTATAGCCGAAAGCCCTCGGATGTACAGAACATTTGAACAGTTTTTACACATCTGTGTTCAGAAAAGATAACACTTGCTCGAACACAAGAAAATTAAATAAAAAGATTAAATAACTTGTCTGTCGTCTTTAATGAAACACACACACACACACACATATATATATATATATACACACACACACATATATATATATATATATATATATATATATATATATATATATATAGATAGATAGATAACTAGACTCGTTTTCGAAAAACCCTCGAATTTTTGATTTGCTAATCAAATCAATCTCGAGGGAAAAAAGGATTTAAAAAAGAAAGAGCTACAAATATGAACTTCTGTCGACGAAAAATCGCACAGATGCAGGTCTGAAGCCCAAAGAAAAAACCCCGATACGAGTTTTCCATGACGGTCCGTTTAGGTGAAACCTAGGTAGGTTTGTCTGGCTCACTAGGTGTATATATATATATATATATAATTCCGGAGCCTAGGTAGAGCACGAAACTAGCAAGCTATTATTGGAAGTTTAGCGAGAGATATAGCAAAAGTCCAAGCATTAAATGGAGCAATTAAAAAAAATTAAACACTACCATAATAGTCGAGAATACGTGTAGGCTATGCCAAGAAGAGAAACAGGCTATAGCAACATATAAAAACAGCAATGAATTGCTGAACGGAAGGTCAGAGATCATGAGCAAATGCAGACATTTTAAGAAGTTCAGCTTGGGATTATTTGAACCCGGTTAAAGTCAGAAATTCTTTTTTCCCCACTACTTCCGGTTTCGAAAGTGCTTAAGTTGTTGAGCTCAGTGGAGTTGATTTGCTGAACAAACCACCCGAGGAGACCGTAGAGATTAAAACCGCGGTAGTGTGCTCTGGTCAGCTTTCATCCTTTTTAAATATATATATATATATATAGTGATTTACCAAGCGTGGCTCAGGTGTGGTACAAGGCCGAAAGTATGGGTACCCAGTGAGTAGATTCTAAATATAATAATCTATTAAACAATAGACACGAGTTAACGGTTTTTTGTAGACATCATCAGATTTTTGGTTTGAATTATTAGCTAAAAAAATGTATAAAATACAATAACTTGTTTAATCCATAGCCCAATCCTCAGATTAATGGTTTGAATAATTTACTAAAAACATGCATACAATATAACACCCTTCATAATCCATAGCCCAAATAAATAGTTTAAATACCCTACAAAAAAGATAACCCTTTATGAAGTCGTCAAAAAACAAACGTTACGACAGTTTTTTATATGCACAAATCCCTTCCTAAAAAAAAAAAAAATAAAAATAAATAAATCTCCATAGACATGCAAACTAGACGAGGATTAATACATCTTCGTTTAAAATTTAGACACCCCTACCTTTCCCTGACTTGACATCTATGAAACTAACTCTATACTGATACTTATTATTAACATCCAACACTCGCCTACCCAATTTAAACAATTCGCCCAAGCTGTTACCATGGAAATTTTGATTTCAATTTTTAAAACACTTAAATTTCAGATATACGTTATTCCAAAAAACATTTCGCTTGAAGATGGAACAGAGCTTATTTTAGCTCAATTTAATTTAAATAATTATATTGAAGTTTTCGGCTCTTGTTTTGAAACATGAGACTTCTTATGTAGCGTTTTGGAATCATATTTTAAATAAATAATTATATTTATGCTCTACTTTTTATCGAGCACTATTTTTAAAAATAATAACTAAAATACTAAGGGACTTTGGATTATTTACCTAACCAGTTCCTTCCTATTTTTCTATATATTTTCACACACACACACACACACACACACACACACACATATATATATATATATATATATATATATATAGAGAGAGAGAGAGAGAGAGAGAGAGAGAGAGAGAGACTAGCTATTAGCACCTGCGTATGCGCGTTAGAAATAAACATTTACCAACTTAAGAAGTGGAAGGTAAAAATAGTAGCACAAAAAATACATCGGGTATATTGAGCGCCAGTTCAAGAGGGGGTTGTGCAATCAAAACTCATCTTTTAGAATTCCGGAGCATAGATACAACACGAAGCAACATATAAAAGCAGCAATGAATTGCTGAATGGGACCAAATGCCAGATATTTTAAGAAGTTGTGCTTGGGTTATTTCAACCCGGTTAAAGATATTTTCGCGCTACTTTCGAAAATGCTTAAGTTGTTGAGTTACGTGTAGTTCATTTCCTGAAAAAACCACCCGAGGATACCGTAGAGGTCGAAACTATGGTAGTGTGGTCTGGTCAGCTTTCATCCTTTCTAAATATTAAACAGCTCTGCAAGTCTGGTCTTCTGACTTTGTATTGAGCACTTTTAATATGTTCAGTTTTAAGAAATATTTTACTATTGGCATTACTATGGCATATATATATATATATATATATATATATATATATATAATTTTTTTTTATATAAAAAAATTGTAACATAAATATGTTATAAAATCACTACAAAAATAGCCATTTTGTTTCAACACCCTCGGTGTCTTATCAATGATGATGTTTCGAGTATATATATATATATATATATATATATATATATATATATATATATATATATATTATGAATAAAAATGACAATAGGAAAACTAGTAATTGCTGACGCATTTAGTCTAATGTGGACTTTATCAAAGCAAAATACGAAATGAATTTAATTGAACACGATAACTAATAAAAACAAAAAACAAAATGTTCCTAGCAACTGGAATGTAGAGAAAGCTATTTCCATATTGTTTATCGGAGGACAAATGTTTTCTGTCAAAATTTCTCGGATAATCAGGCCGGTAAATGTTGTTTAATACTGTTTATTATAAACAGAGCATTTACTTAAATATTTGTATCTATAAAATGAATGTATAAACATAAAAATGTCTTTATATATATATATATATATATATATGTGTGTGTGTGTGTGTGTGTGTGTGTGTGTGTGTGTGTGTGTGTGTGGAATTGGACATACACATACAGGCACACACATACACACACATATAGGTATATATATCTAAATTAAACAAGGTAAGGCAATAAAGACACTAGGAGGCAAAGGGATATATATATATATATATATATATATATATATATATATATATATATATATATTGTCCGTGTCTATCTCGCTATCTATATCTGTTTTCTCGTTGTACTATCGCACAAATCAGGAATTATTCGTTTCATTTAAAAAGAAATAAAATAAAATCTCATGGTCCACCGTCCATATGGTTTGTATCAACGGCAAACGGTTTCACGTCCGCTGGGCTGAGTTTCCCTCCAGCAAAATTGTACTTGCTAACTTCCATGGCGATTTCTTTTCTTTTTGTGACATGTTTTTTAATGTTTTTTTACGATTTCACAAGACTGTCTTTTTACATGTCTTTCTCTTTCTCTCTCTTTACCTCCTTTTCTCTCTCTTTCTCTCGTGCTCTTTCTTCCCTTCTCTCTCACTTTCTCTCTCTCTCTTTCCCCCCCTCTCTCTCTCTCTCTCTCTCTCAAACTATCTCTTCTTTTTTTCTTTCTTTTTGCTGAAGAGTAGCTTGTCTTTCTTTTTAGCACCTATTATAGTTGTTGTCTTATCGCGTTTGTCCGCTTTCTTGCGCGCGCTCAAACATAACTCTCCCCCACGCTTCTACCGTATTTCTTCCCCTCTGACCCCTCTCTTTAACAAACGCTTCATCTTATCGTTTTGAGAAAGAAAAAAAAAACAGAAAATCTGGACGTCTCCTATTGGGTAGGTGTGGGTGATTGGAAACATATTTAGGACAAATTTTATTCGCTGGAATGATTTTGGTGGATTCAAGGCAAATTTGAGAAAGATGATCTCCTAAGAGGGACAGAAAAGAAAAAAAAAGTAATTGTACCCCGTGAAGACACACCCTGGAGCAGTTAGTAGAAACCCAATAACTGAAACTGACTACATGGGTTCAAATCTGATGCTCCTGCTCTATATCTCTTGAGATGTGGGTTCAAATCTAATGCTTCTGCTGTATATCTCGAGATATGTTGTCTTAAATCTGATTCGTCTACTGTATATCTCTTGATATGTGGGTTCAAATCTGATGCTCCTGCTGTATATGTCGAGATTCTTGACAAAATTCAAAGTAGGGTCTCTAATGTAATCGATCCTGACCTGGCATCTCGACTTCAGTCACTTTCTGAACGACGTGAGCTGGCTTCCTTCTGTCTTTTCTACAAATATTTTCACGGCAACTGCTCCGTTGAGCTTTTTTTCTCTAGTGCCTCGAATATGTGAATTTAGAGGCGCTACTAGATTGACAATTAGGTCTCACCGTTTTATTGTTGAACGAGCTAGATGCAACCACCACTTCTACTTTAACAGGTTCTTTTCTTGTATTTCCCACCTGTAAAACTCCCTTCTGATATACAGTTTCCTTGATAACTACAATCTTCAAATGTTTAAATACAACTCCATCTTCTGTGATGTTGAACACTGTTCTTTCATTGTACTTTTCCCAATCTTCCCAACTAAAGTCTTCTCGTTCTCTTTCACTCTCAATAACCCATTGCGTCTTAGTGGCATTATCGCCATCTTCTGTCTTCCTGAAACCTGTTCTTTTATTGTCCTTTCTCCTTACTAAAGTCTTCTCATTCTCTTTCACTCCCAGTAACCCCCTTGCGTCTTAGTGGCATTAACGTCGTCTTCTGTGTTCCTGAAACCTGTTCTTTTATTGTCCTTTCCTTTCACTAAAGTCTTCTCATTCTCTTTCACTCCCTTGCATCTTAGTGGCATTATCGCCATCCTCTGTCTTCCTGAAACCTATTCTTTTATTGTCCTTTCTCCTCACTAAAGTATTCTCATTCTCTGTCACTCCCAATAACCCCTTGTGTCTTAGTGGCATTATCGCCATTTTCTATCTGAAACCTGTTCTTTTATTGTCAAAAAATCGACAATAAAAAAATAAATTCTTTCTTTTTTTTTTTCGATTCCGAAATTTTATTAAGCAATTAAACCTTTTCGTCACCTTTTGGAACAGGGCGTCATTGTCTAAAAAATTGCGTTTTCCTGGCGCTTCGCTCAATGCAAAACTATTCTAAACTTAGCATAGCGCTGTAGTCGAGAGTTTTACCATTGCCCTAATATGATACTCCTCTAACATGACCTTGTGCCAGACTAAGATAATTAGATAATTAATTCAAATGCTGTTTGATTCGTGTGTGTATCTCGAATGTTGATATTTAAGGCTTACACCTGGATTGTTTCCCCCAATCTTTTTACCCACCTTTCTCCCATTGGATAAGACGATAAACTACATCCCCGTCCTGGGTAAGACGATAAACTACATCCAGCAGTAATGCCTTTAATCAGGGGGTTTTGAGGAGCGTGGAACCACCTCTTAATTGCTGGTGTTCCCAGATGCACCCTGCAAGCAAGTACTTCATTTCCGATAGACGTTTACTCGTTATAAGTAGGGGTTTTTAACTTAGGTATAAAATGGATTTTCTGCATAAATACAAACCTTACCTAAGTTGGGCACAAGTACAAAGTAGGGACGTAACCGATGTCATTCGAAATCACAACAAATGTAATAGTATGTTAGACTATTCTGTTTTCTTTTACATCTATAATCTTCAAAAATTTAAATGCAGCGTCAATGGCCATCTGCAGTCTTCCTGAATCCTGTTCTTTTATTGTCCTTTCTCCTCACTAAAGTCTTCTCATTCTTTTTCACTGTCTGTAACCCGCTGTATTCTAATGGCACAATCACCTTGTTCGGTGTGAAATGCTTATAAAAAATCCGGTCATCTATTTTAAGCAATAATCGGTTATTTTTCTTTCTATCGCTCACCGAATATAAGACAGAAGAGCCACTCAAGGTTGAGCGTTACTAAATGGGGATGTTGTAAGGTCGTTCAGAAATGTGATAAGTGTTGCATATTGTTAGGATAGATAACTGTTGACTCTAGACATGAAGAGACTGTAGCATTCAGAGAAGATGTGTGAGTGATACTTCATCCTCACTAATGAAATATGAATGGAATAAGGATGAGTTGACTCAGTGTACGTAATATAGGGAGTCTTTGCTGTGAAGGTCTGAACTGGTGGAAGTAAGGAAGGTAGTTTGCTCATGAAAATAGCGATAGACTAGCGAGAGGCTTGCGGCTTTTTGTCTATGGGAAAGGGGTTGTAGGGTGGAAAACAATTCATCACTCACAAGGCCGCGCAAACTCGGTGGTTTATGGCTACATCACATTGAGACACCGGTTTTCGTGCCATCGTCGAAGTTAAGCAACGTCGAGCTAGGTCAGTACCTAGATGAGTGACCGCTTCGGAATATCAGCTGTTGTAAGCTTGAATGTGAGGGTGGTGTCATTGATAATGACTCGGAATTGTTAATCGGAGAGCTTTGAGTTCGTTACTCTCTTCCCCCAGTTATAAGTAAGACTTATATCACTAAATCATTTTATTTTGTTATTATGCTTCTTAATTCTTTGAGGAAAATAGGGCCGCAACATCACCTTTCCAACGGACTCGGTTCCGGATGATTTTCTTCGGCTCGGCCCATGTCGTGCCGGCTGCCTTCACCTCTGCGTCAACACTTCTTTTTTGGTCGACCCACTTTTCACTTCCCTTGTGGAATCCAGTCAAGGGCCTGCCTGCCTGCCTGCCTGGTGACACTAGAAGTAGGCTTGCGGAGTGTGTGGCCGATCCATCCGCATTTCCATTTCTTGATGTCAATCTCGATTGGGGCTTGTCTGGTCCTGAATTATTTTTATACTAGCAGTAGAGCCCGGCGTTGCCCGGGGATGTAACAGTAAGAGATAGATCAAGTATTGACCATCATAAAGACTGAAAAATAAAATTGACAAAGATTATTGTTTAAGGTTGACGGACACGCATGTCTTAATTAGTTGGGGTTTTTTTGTTTTGTTTTTTTTTTACTTATTGGTCAAACCCAAACTCAACAAAAACATTGTTTTCAATGGTTATGAGTCTATCGATTGAATAGAATTTTATTATAAACAATTGGAATTTTTAAAGCATTCTGAATGTAAAAATAAAGAAAAAAGTGTGCAAGACAATAAGAAACACTACCTGCCAAAAAAAGTGAAGTTTTGTTGAAATCGGTTGAAAAATGTAGGAAATCCGATCCCAAATATAAACGAACACACACACACACACACACACAACCTGGGTTTTATAATAAGTATAACTCGATATGAGTTGTCCCCTTTTCATTCTTGTGATGCCTCTTAATCGTGTTTTCAAATTGATTTCATGCAAAAACAATTGTGTTTTTCCAATTTTTGGCGTTGTTAGAACCACCGCAAGATAATTTTACGTAGTCCTGTAAAGTTTCGTTGAAATCGGTTGAAAAATGTAGGAAATCCGATCCAATATATAAACGTACAGACACACACACACACACACACACATACATCTGCGTTTTATAATAAGTAAGATTTACAAAAAATCTTTATTTTTAAAAGGCTAGAGACACCAAGAACATGGTTTCCATGCCTAAGTATCGTCAACACTTTTGCGCCAAGTCTGTTTTGGTCGACCCACTTTTCACTTCCATTGTGGATTCCAGTCAAGAGCCTGCCTGGTGACACTTGAAGCAAGTTTGCGCAGTGTGTGGCCGATCCAACCTCATTTCCCTTTGTTGATGTTTGTTTCAATTGGGGCTTGCCTGGTCCATTCCCACAGTTGACCGTTGGACACGACATCTGGCCACCTGATATTGAGGATGTTCCTGAGACATCGGTTGTTAAATGTCTGAATTTTGTGGGGGTTAGTTTTGGTTAGCCTCCAAATTTCTGGGTCTTAAACTAGGACCGACTTGATGTTAGTCTTGAAGATCAGGATCTAAATCATTATTATCCTCCCAAAACATTTTTTAAAATCTGTTGTGATGAGATAACCCAACTTCCCCATTCACGATAATGGACGGACTGGTTGCCGATTAAGTACGACCACCACGGACAGTCAAGAGGTCTTCGTTTGTTAACACCTATTGAGGTTAGCTTACTCCTGACTCTGTCTCTGTATTTTGACATACCTACATCCGATTATAAAATTATTATTGAAAACCAACACTCGGGTTTACTTTGTTTATTATATCTTGCACGAGATATAACACAATCTAAAAAAAACTTATGGCTTTAAATAACCTGCAATGGGTTGATAAACCATAGATAACGATTAAATCAATCAATCAATAAGAAGCAAACGCTGTCGAAGCTGAGTGGTGAGATTTGGGAGGACCCGGATGAGATGTGGCAGTCATACTCCTTTTAGGTCTGATTTGGCCCTTGTAAACATACGGCAGTAAGAGTCGTATATTTTCAAGAGGGAGCCGACCATTTTTGCAGCATCTTTTGCGGTGGATCCATTTTGAGGTTTGATGAGAACTTGAATCCCGATAAACATTCCAGGCAAAGAGTCTGAGAGTGTAATCGTTTATCGTGGCTGGAGGAACCTCAAGGCCGACTCTGTGATGATGAAAAGTTAAAGGTGGATTTTTGACAAGAACAAAAATTAATAATATTAAAAGCATAACAATAAAAGAAGGATAACAAAAAACTAACTCTATTATCCACATAAAATAAAGACAGCTAAGCTGGGTTCTAGGTCTGTCATTAGAGCCCAAACGAGTACAAAAATGTTTAGCTACATTTTACGCGAATGTTTTATGACATGAATACAATATAGGAACCAGAAAATAGAATGCCAGGGAAAAACAATAATAAAAAAAAAACAAATTGTAATATGAGTTCTGGAAAAAAAATGAAAACTGAACCATTAGGTTCATAAGTCCCCAAAATTCATACACTAATTTCTCCAAGGATTAAAAAACTCGTTGGTTGAAATAATCGAGTGACTTAACCCAAAGAGTTGTGAGTTCAATACGTGACCACAGCAGAGGCGAAGAAAAACTAGGAGAGTTAAGTTACTCAAGGGAAATAACTGAAACTCAGATATCCAGAAAAGGCATGGCACGTGGAAGTAGAACAAACTACCCCGGTGGACGAAACAGAGGGTTCGGTTCGAAATACCAATGTATATCAGCTGAAGAAGTCCGGAGCGTACAACGGCCGAAAAGTCATGAATATGACAATAAGAATGAGGACAATAGTCTGAACAATGTAAATAGTATAAATATCTAAGTTCTAATTAGTATTATTATTTTTTCTGGAAAGCTGTCCAAATATATGACAATTATTATCTCATGATGATGCCTGGATATCATCGCTGAAGTCTATAAGTGAACTAGTACACTCAAATATCCAACACCATCCTCTGTATATTTTTATATATTTTAGTACATTTCAGATGTCCGGTGGTTATTGCTGGTAAGAGTGTTAGTCTCCTGAAATCACCAGCACCTTGCGCAGTATCATTTATTATTATATTTCATGCATTTACAGGGAAAAACGGAATTGTCAACGGTCTAGAATAAATGCAATGTGAGCATTACTCGGAGAATGATTCAGTTATATGTATAATGTAAACGCATTGGAAACCATGATGAAAGGGATTGTCAGTGTTCAGGAATTAATGCAAACATCACTGGGAGAATGGGGCGAATATATGTATATTGGAAATGAATTGATAATGATTTGAGTACAGAAAATCATGAAGAAAGAGATTGTCACTTGTCAGGAATTATTACAACCATTTATAATGTAAATACATTACTAATGTACATTATTTACATTATTCGGACTATTGTCCTCATCTTTGTCGCCATATTTATTACAACGTTTCGGCCGTTGTACGCTCCGGCCTTCTTCAGTTGGTTGGAATGTCGAACTGAACCCTTTATTTCGCTCACTGGGGTAGACTGTCCTAAGACACCTGGCACAGTGGATAAAGGCGTTGGTTAGATCCAGTGACAGGACCATAAGAGTGTGAGTTCAATACTCGGTTAAGGCAGTGGAGAACTTTCAGAGGGAAATTAACAGGAGATAACTGATAACTGACATCCATGGCACGTGGAACTAGAACAGTTTACCCCAGTGAGCGAAATAAAGGGTTCAGTTCGATATTTCAACCACCTGAAGAAGGCCGGATCGTACAACGAAACTGTCTTCAGCAACAATTTTTACCAGTGCTCATATTGCAATTTTGCTGTTAACATTGCATGTTTTTACCAGAGCTCATATTGCAACTTTGTGTGAGTGTGAGTTCAATACCCGGTTAAGGCAGTGGAGAACTTTCAGAGCGTACAACGGCCGAAACGTTGTGATAAATATGGCGACAAAGATGAGGACAATAGTCCGAATAATGTAAATAGTGTACATAATACCTCATCTCATAAATATAGACAGATTACTTTATTATTTGTTGTTGTTGATGATTACTTCATTTCCTTGTGTCTGTGTGTGCATTCATAGTTTGTTAATTTCATTTGTTTTATTTGCTTAAATTGTTTATTTAGTTTTTTGTTTATTTTCTTTGTTTTTTTTACTTTTCGGAGGTTGATTATAGCTTAAATAGCCTTACTATAAAATGTTGTAATTAGCCTAAATAGCCACGTCTTTACTATTAAATATCTTATAAAGCCTAAATATCCACATCTTTACTATTAAATGCCGTAAATAGCCACTTCTTTACTGTTAAATGTCATAAATAGCTTAAATAGCAACTTCTTTACTTTTAAATTCTTTAAATGGCCTAAATAGCCTCGTCTTTACTATTAAATATCACAAATTACCTAAATACTTCGTCTTTTAAATTTCATAGACTAAATAGTCTCCTCTTTACTATTAAATGCCTTATATACTGTAAAAATCCACGTCTTTACTACTAAATGTCATAAATAGCCTCGTCTTTACTATTAAATGACTTAAATAGCCATGGTATACTATTAAATGACTTAAATAACCTAAATAGTTTAGATTACTATTAAATGTGTTAAATAGTCTAAATAACCTTGTCTTTACTATGGTCATAAATGGCTTTGTCTTTACTACTAAATATCACAAGTAGCCTACATAACCTTGTTTAAATGTCATAAAAAACCTATTCAATGCCTTAAATAGTCTAAATGGTCTTGTCTTTACTATTAAATGCCTTAAATAGCCTCGTTGTTATTAAATGCCTTAAATAGCCTAGTCGTTATTATTAAATGCCTTAAACAGCCTCGTTGTTATTATCAAATGCCTTAAATAGCCTCGTTGTTATTATTAAATGCCTTAAATAGCCTCGTGGTTATTATTAAATGCCTTAAATAGCCTCGTTATTATTAAATGCCTTAAATAGCCTCGTTGTTATTATTAAATGCCTTAAATAGCCTCGTTGTTATTATTAAATGCCTTAAATAGCCTCGTTGTTATTAAATGCC